ACTAAGGAATGCTCAGATCTGGGGAAACAGTCCTCTCCATGGAAGAACGAATCTATTAGTTGTCCAATATAAATGGCCATCCCTGAAAACATTCAAATGTGTAATATTATACAGCCTAAGAAGTTTATATGCATATTTACATGACAACAATTAATGGAAAATGGGGTCTTGAATTTGAAAGAAAGTAAAGAGGGGTGCATGGAATAATTTGGTGGGAGGAAAACGAAGAGTGAAATGATGAAATTATAATTTTAAAAATAAGAGTAATAGATTTCTTAAAGTTGTCAAAAGAAATTTTAAGCAACTTTCAGAAATCAACAAAATGCTCACAATAATGTGAAGAGTATCATTTTTTAAAACAATAAATTTAGTGTTCACCTCTAGTTTCAGTTAACACTTATTTTTCCTGCACTAAGTTGTGTACTTTTTATGTCAGAATTGCATTACAATTAGCTCTCTTTGTCTCCTTCAAAAAATAGCAGTCTCCCTGCTGAGGGTTACAGCATCTAACTTTTTACTAGTGTATAGTAATTGTACAAAGTAAAGGGATACATCCTGACAGGTCTTTATACACATACAATGTACTTCCTTTCTGATTTTCCTTCCACATTCCACATGTCTCTATAGTAGTTCTCCTTTTTGTTTTCATGTTATTTTCCCCACTAGATTCGATATATGAAAAACAAACAAACAACAACAACAACAAAAACAATACCATATTAACTTTGTTTACTAGTATAGAGTCAAGCTTCAAGATTTAGTTGGAATTTGGGAGTTAATATTCATTAATGTCTGTTCTACAAGTCAGTTTAAGTAAAGAAATCTACCAAGAAATGTATTTCCTTTCTTAGGGTTAAAAATATCTTCTATTACCTACCTTTCACTTAAAAAAAAGTTACACGGTCAAAACTATTTTTTGTATTTTTCTCTAGTTCCTTCTCTATTTGGTACATATGCTTAGAGTACATCTATTCTTAAACAGAGACACACCTGTTTGTATCTTCACATTTTTGCTATTCAGTAGTCCTAATGTTGTCTGTTCAAAGGGCAATAAATAAGAAAACAGCATACTGTGAAATCACATTCTTCTAAGAGAACTATCACACACACACACACACACACACACACACACACACACACACATACACACACACACACGTGTATACAAAAATGTATTTTGGTAAGCACATGAAAGGATTTGTAAGAAATACTCCCTCTCTTTTCAGTAATAGTATTTTAAAGAGCTACAACTGAAATACTATGTCATAAACAACATAAAATATTTTTTCCAAAGCTGAGTTACAACAAACCACCATGATCTATAGAAGTAAGTCTCCTGAAGGGTTTCAAATTGGAACTATAGATATAACATATTTGATCCATACAGTATTTATTGCTTTAAATAATTGTATACCAAAGGCTGGGAAGGTAGCTTAGTGAGTAAAGTGCTTGCAGTACAAGCATGAGAACCCAAGTTTGGATTCCCAGTATCCACACAAATATCAAAGTGTAGATGTACACACCTGGAACTCCAGCATTTGTGGGGAGGAGGTAGCATGACAGGAGAAAAGAGCATCCCTGGAGTGTAGCTAGAGTTTTCCTGCCTGGCCCACAGTCAGGACAAATCTCTCTCACCCGCCAGTCCCAAGCCGCTTAAACCCGATCAAATAAACACAGAGACTTATATTGGTTTCAAACTGTATGGCCGTGGCAGGCTTCTTGCTAACTGTTCTTACAGCTTAAATTAATCCATTTCTATTAATCTATACCTTGCCACGTGGCTTGTGGCTTACCGGTACTTTACATCTTCCTTATCCTGATGGCGGCTGGCCGTGTCTCTTCCTCAGCCTTCCACTTCCCAGCTCTATTCTCCTCCTTGTCCCGCCTACACTTCCTGCCTGGCCACGGGCCAATCAGTGATTTATTCATTGACCAATCAGCAACACATTTGACATACAGACCATCCCACAGCACTGGAGCTCTCTGCCTGCTAACCCAGCTGCCAAATTCTAAGTTCCTATATTTATTACTGCTTTATGAAATTAATGATCTGATAACACTAGGCTCAAATCTTAGAGTGTTGCAACCAGCTGAGGCTCTGTGGTGACTAGTTCTTATAGATGATTGATGTGGGCTCTCACATTCCTCATAATCATTCTGAATATAGGGTTTAATATAAATTTCTATTGTTAACTTCCTTAAGATATTTATATCTATCAGGGTTTGAGAATTAAAAGATAGACTGAGGCAGCTGTGCTTCAACACATATGGGAGAGTTTTCATCTCCTTGTAGAAATGGAAATTATTTTAGGTATATGTACAAAATATTTTTAAGTAATTAAGCTTCAGATATAAAAATTGTGTAGTGTATTAAAGGAAACTATAATTAAGATATAGCATCCCCCTTATCTAGAGGAATATGTTCTGAGACTATTAGTGGATATTGTAATCTGTGCAATTGTGTGTGTATAGTTTTTTCCCTATACATAAATATCCATGGAAAAGTTAACTTTTTAACTTGGACACAGTGGAGATTAATAAGGATAACCACTAATAGAACAATTGAACTTATTTATTGTACCTGATCTCCTGCTTCTTGTGATGATGTGAAGTGATAACACAATGACATGATATGAGGTGAATGATAGCATTAGGCTACTGTGTAATGTTCCATGAGGCACAAGCATTATGATACTACAACAATTGATCTGATAACAAAGAAAACTACTAAGTGATTAATAGATTGGTAGCATGTACAGTATGCATATGCTAGATAGAGAAAAATTAATATCCCCAGTAGGAAAGAATATAATAGTAAAGGAGTCCCCTATGTTACTTTAAAGGGCATTTGACTTAGCTTTTGTGAACCTTTTATTTCTGGAATTTTCCACCAATATTTTTGGAATGCATTGACCACAAGTAACTGAATCTTTGAAAAGAGAAACCACTGATAATAGTGGTGAGGTACTAGTGCATAAGAAAGATGTATAATTAAGATCTAAATTGCAAAAAGTAGGGTAAAGTTCAACAAGTTTTGTATTTCGGCACATGTACAAAGTGTGGCTACTGGGAAATTCTAGGCATCAAAATATTAATATATTACCAAGATATGAAAATACCTACTGAGGCTGATGAGACAAACCAATGGTCGAAGACACTTGACTTCAAACCTCACAACCTGAGTTTGATCCCCAAGACTCTAGGAGGGAAAAACTGACTCCACACCAAAAAGGTGTCCTCTGACCTCTACATGCACACTATGGGATGTATGTGGACACTCATGCATGAGTGCACACACACACATATACACAAATGTAAAATAATTGTACGACTAATTATGTGTCAGTGTGAAGTATTGCTATATAGAATGATTGAAACAATTTGTATGAGCAATTTATGTGGAAAAGTTAAATCTCTTGTACAATTTTCTTTTTAAAAAATCATGCGTGTGCACATGCATGTATGTGGAAGACACAGATTGTCACTGGGTATCTTCTTCAATCATTCTCCACCTCTCACTTGAGACAGTCTCTTAGTGAATATGGATGTTATTGATTTGGCTTGAGAACTAGTCATCAAGCTCAAGTTCCAGGTATCCTTCTGTCTCTCCTGTAGTAACACTATAAGCATGTACCTAGATTTTTATATGGTAGATGGGGGATCTGAACTTGGGCCCTCATGATTATGTGGCAAATGCTTTACCAATTGAGCTAATCCACAATCCCCTCTGATAAACTTTTCTTAGACACATACAACAATACAGATATAAAACTACCACAAAATTATTCATAGTTAGTCATGGTACCAATGAGAATGTTGATGTCAATGAGTTCTTAGCATGTTGTTCATTATAAGTAAGTCATAGAATGGCTTACTTATTTGAAAACAAGTCCTAAATAAAATGCATGCAAATCACAATATACATGAGTAAATAGTAATGCCAGATTTGCTTACGATTAGTATATTCAGTATTGTAAAATTTTGCAGAGACCCAGAGGTTACATTGGTTTACTAGAAGGTTCAACAATAATTATTTGCTTTGTGGTAAACTGTTTAACTAGAACACATTAAAGATACAGTAGGTGCCATCATGAGATGGAGACACTTTCCCTCTTCTACTTCAACAACAGACAGCATAAAACTTGGAGGGAAGGTGCAACCTATATGGTGATTATCTTCCCTTTCTGAGCCTAGGTACTTGAGTTAGGGTAAAGTGCTCACTCTAAATATGAAATTCAGTGTAGAAATTTCCTAGGAAGGAATCAATCATTCATTTAAGACATTGACAAAAACTTTGTATCTCTATGCCATCTCACACTTTGGTTAATCTGTAAAAAATTCTGTATTTGACATTTTAATTTCAAATCAAAGAGAAATCATTGACAACCTGGCATAAAAGAAAACGTGAGAAATCTGGTTTGTATATTAAAGTGGTAATAAATAAGTTATAAAAGAAATCTGTAATCATTAATTATTGCTATTTTAATTTAATTTTTATTTTAAACTTAAAATACCATTAGTTTGAATTTTTGTCCTAATCTCATATGCTCATTTTATCATTAATTGAAGAAATTTTTATTACATTCCTGGCAATTTGTTTTTTATTACCAGCCTGATTCACTCACTTCAGGTATGTCTCCAGCTCCTGTCTCCTTTGAGTTTGACATTTGTAAATGAGGTGATAGTTTAGTTATTCTTCCACATCTCCACACATTCTTTCCTCCAAGGAAAGGAAAAGTGTCAGTCATTAAAGGTACAAAATATGTAGTTTTATTTTGTGAATATTATACACATTATACTAAATATTTACTGAGTAATTATTAGAGGAGTGGATGGATGAATTGAAGGGTGGATTTATGTGAGAGACATGCATGCATCTAGAAAGCTTTGTGGATGAAAGCTGTACTAAATTAAATATTACTAAATCACATACATATTTAGCATGATAGGAAATCATTTTCCTTTCTCTTAAACTTCGTTTTCACCCAATTCTGCCATAGATGCCTATACTAAAGCTGAAGTGATTTATTCTTGGACTCTCGGGAAGAACAAATCTGTGGAAGTAGCACAGGATGGCTCTCGCCTGAATCAGTATGACTTGCTTGGCCATGTTGTTGGGACAGAGATAATCCGGTCTAGTACAGGTATTGACTTATTTATTGATTAAACTTCTATGTAATCTGTACCATATGCCAACATTGTATTTATAACTTATTTAATATTTAAAACAATTTTGAATACTATTACAGTGATGAAATTGAAGGAATTCAATAATTTGTTTCATTTTGTTAATCAGTGTCAGAATCAAACTGTGAACCCAAGCAGTAAACTTTTAAGTCCCTCTGAAGCCCAGTGCTCTGATACTTGTAAGGAGTGGGGCAGAAGGTAAAGGGAATGTGATAGAAATTAGAAAGGACTTAGTGATGAGGTCAGTGAGCTTAAATCAGAAAGGGTTCATTACTGCTGAGGCAGTAAGTTATTAGCCCTACTAGAGGCTTGAGAGTAGTCAGCAAATTAGTTTCTTCACTAGATCACCTACCTCAGAGAAAACGTTTTTTGACAAAATGTGTGACGTCTTCTTAATAGCGTACTTTTGGATAAACAAATACTTTTTGAGAGACTTGTTCTGTAGTATGCAGTTTGTCCATTTATATACTACCTGATTCTAGGGATACAATCAAAATGGAAATTTACTTGAAATAAAAAAATACCACAAAAAGAAAATAGAGTAATTGGAATAATGGAATAGATGCTAGGTCCCACTTGTCACATAATAATAGTTTGTGCTACTATAGTGTAGAGGTGTTCAGCATTACTTTTCAAACACCAATCTCTGTGAGTCCACAATTACTGATGAAATTGGGTACCCAGCCATTCTTTCATTATTTGGACATTATTTGGCTATGACTTCATGGTGTTATAGCATGCCATCTTGACTGTTCTTCACTTTAGGACCAGAGGAGAGTATAACATATTAGAAATGCCTTTGCCCAAGGCTGTAGATTTCCTATCCTCACCAGTGGTGATATTCTACACCAGTTAGTTGTGTTCCCTGTACTGGACCTCTTCTGAAACACTTACTTGGCATCAAATTTGAAAATCAATCTTACTGGTTATCCAAGCAGCCCAAGATCACATTTCACAGTTTAAATCACTGTTTCAGTTTTATCACATGGAAAATACATGTTCATAATGAGAACATTAAAAATGCATGGAAAAGCTAATAGAGGAAATTTGGATACAATCAACCCCATGTATCTGTGGGCTCTGTATCTGCAGATTCAATCAAGTGAAGAATGAAAATTTGTTTTAATTGTGTACTTAATATATGTAGAAGTTTTTTTGTCATTCTCTATACAATATAGTATAAGAATTCCTTGTATGAGATATTTAGTTTTAAAGTATAGTATAGTTGAACATGGGTTTTATACACATATTATGAAATTTTATGCAAGAGACTAGAAAATTTGGGGATTTTGCATTAATAGGGACTCCTAAAACCAGTCCTCCAAAATTACGGAGTTACAGCTTAACTCTTTAATTGCACTACCTAGAAAAAATTCACTAAGTGACTAAAGAGAGACCTCAGTAGTTAAGAGCACTGGCTGGTCTTACAAAGGACCTGGGTTCAATTACCAATACATATACAGCAGCTTATAACCCTGTAACTCCAGTTGCAGGTGATTTGACAGTGTCTTCTGACCAACACAGCATCCACAAGCATGTGTGCATACATACACATACATATACACATAAACACACACACACACACAAACACACACACACACACACACACACACACACACACACACACACACACACACACACACACCTGAGAAATATGTGCTTGGGGGAGGGAGAGGGAGATAGGCAGACAGACACAAACAGAGAAATAAAAATAAAAAAAATCTAAAATAGAATTTTTTTCTGATATACTTATACCATTTGGCTACTTTTAGTACAGACTTGGGCCATAATTTTATTGTCAATGGATCTTCATGGAAACCAAAATTATTCAGATGACCTTTACATTTCAAGTGACCTTGCATCACTGTAGGCTTTGACAACACAGCCAGTTATGCACCTAACAGTCTTATGTGTCTTCTTTCCCTAAAAGTCGTTTCTCCTTTCGTCATAGTTGGCATCCCTTTGTGGAAATCATTGAATATTTGCTTTTTCTTCGTAACTAGAGTCACATTCAATGGGACTTCCTCCATATTAATCTGTTGCATATTTCTCTGAAAATGAAATACTTTCTTGTCAAAAGGGCTCTCAGCTTTGCCCTACATGTAAATTCAAACCTATTTCAAATTTACCTTTTACCTGTATAGAGGAGGAAAGTATACTCATTCTGCCCTGATAGACAGTTGCATGTTCAAATGGAGGATTGGTATAGAAAAATTTTTCTTAAAATATTTAATATGTTAATTAATTGATTTGTACATGTTGATATATAGGAGAATTCCCTTTGCATTTTTCAGTAACTCTAAAGTTTAATTAAATGGCATTTTGGAACACCAAAATGTATCAATATTAAAGCACTTATATCATTTATTCAGTTTTATATATTTATCTGCTTTTAATATTATAATTTTTATGAAGTTTTCATTCATTAGATGTACAGGAGCCAAGCAAAATGCACATATAATTCAGTAACAATATACTAACAATGGCAATAAAGGCATTAATACTTGTTTTGTTTGCTTTAAATAAAAACAAAGTAATAAAATTCTCTCTTTCAAGGCTAGAGAATTCTTGGCAATTATTTGGGTTTTTCTGTGGGAAATGTAGCATTTCATTGCTGAAACTCAGCAAAATAATGGTTTCTTTTGTAATGACATTGTGCAGGGCTCATAGCCTACTTAGCCAATTGTCTACCATTATGCTTTGTGTTTAATTCTATAAACAATATTTACGTAGACCCTCCTTTTCCAGACAGCATTTTGCTACAGTGTAATTAGATATCTGTCTATGATCCTGACAGAACATTTTGAAAATAATACATGCTCTGAATGTTTAACCAATTCCCTTTTCCACTGTCCCTGTATGAGCACTCTAGTTTTCCTTTTTCCTTAGCAAAAATTGGTATTATAAATTCAATTATCCCCTCCCCCACCAAAATATGTCAAATTGTTAACTACATTACCTCAGAATATGACCTTATTTGGGAATAGTGTCATTATAAATGTAATCACTGAAGATGAGGTCATATTGCAGTAATGTCATATAATTGGTGTTCTTATGAAGAGGGAGATTTTGGACAGAGTGAAGAGTGAACATGAGAGACTATATGAACACAAAGGCTGTGATCAGGTGGATGTTTCCATAAGCAAAGAACTGTCAAATTTTGCCTGCAAACAAGTTGAGATTCGTAAGAGGCAAGGAAAAAATCACTTACAGGTTTTAAATAGAGCCTGGCCCTACTGAAACATTCATTCCAATCCTCTGAGGTGATACAATTGTCTTGTTTTAACATATCCAATATCTGGAACTTTGTTGTGGTAGCCTCAGCAAATTAGTTTAACTGAAAATTCTTATAGTGATTAAATTAATAATGATTAATTGTTGAGCATGTAATATGTGCCAGACACAGCACTAAGGACATGTATTAACTCACTTTAACCTTGAAAGATACTGTGAAGTAAGCAATATTGAAGGTCCAAGTATCTGGATAAAGAAATCAAGGATCAGAAAAATTCAGTGCCTTAAGCACTTATGGTTTAGTTACCTCCATACTTATAATGTGCTTGTACTGCTATATCTTTTTACTTTTAGCGTATAACATGAATTCCTTTGTGTCAAGTATATGAATGCATAGTGCACTTCACTCACCCACTATCATTCTGTTCCCCTAGCATATTCAATATATCTTGTTGACTGTGTATAATAGTCACCTATGTTTCATGTGCTGTCATTCCTTTCATCTTCGTTTCCTTGTCTTCTTTCTTTCTAGAAGATTAAAGGATACATTGAGTTATTTTGATGGTGAGAATGCACACTAAAGATGGCACCTCCCAATCATAGAATCTGTGAGCATGTTAGGTTATGAAGAGTGTGGTTATGAAGGTAAAATTAAGGTTTATTATATGGCATTTAAATAAAGATATAGTCTTGGATTATGCAGGTAGGACTAACATAATTACGAAAGTTTCTTCATAAAGAACAGGGGGTCAAGAAAACCAGTCAGAGAGAAGAAAAGCAGGGTTACCAATCAAGAAATGCTAGTAGCCTCTTCCCTAGATTTAGCAGAAAGAGTGCAGCTTAGCCAATGGTGTATGTATCAAAATATTATATGTTTTCTCATAAATATGTATTTTTGTATTTTATGAATATCACTAAAATGTATTTCATGAAAGCATGGAGTTTTTAAAATCCTATTTGAGATTTCTGACCTTCTGAAGTTTGAGAGAATAAATTTGTTAGAGGGCTTATAAGAAACAAATATAGCTCTCTGTTTATAATTAAGATTTTAAAAATAGGTTTTAGAAGTTTTAACAGGGCAAGAAACACACACACAGAGGAAATATTAAATAATGTCTTTTGTTGGAGTTGCATTTCTTCTCTACTGGGCACCATTCATTTCCATTTAGTCATTTCCCTGTAGAAAGAGCCTACAAAGGCTTTTGGGGGAAAGGTGTTCTGGCTTGTTTTCTTTGGGCAGAGAAAGCAAGTATCTCAGTAGCTCACTGTGCCTGCACTATGCTGCTCTATTTGCTGATTCTTAACTTGTTGTCTTTCTTAGGGATTCATAGTTGTTTTGTGTCATTCATATACTGTGTTTGTTATGCAGTAAATCCACATTCATATAAACTTAGGTCCATGCATAAATTTCTTTTTCTCTTTTGTTTGTTCTCTCTATTCTCTTTCTGAATCAACTTATTTAATAATAATAGATGTGTATTTTCCAGCTAGTTTTATCTATCATACTGTGTGTGTGTGTGTTTGTGTGTGTGTGTGTGTGTGTGTGTGTGTGTGTGTGTGTGTGTGTGTGTGTAATAACTTTAGGGAAATAGACATGCAACAGTTAACCATGGTTACTGGTAGCAAAGAGAAATAAGATGAATGAAGGGGAACATTTTGATGTACATACTTTCACACCTTTTGATTTAAGAACTATGTAAATATTATTATCTCACATAAATGTGGCAGTAATTCCCTTCTAAATGTTGAATATGTAGTGGGCTCCAAAAAGCCAGGTCATGCATCAGGAATAAATCCTGGTCCTACTGGCAGGATCCCCATCAGCAGACCAAGCCACAAAACTGTCACCCACATTCAGAAGGCCTGGTTTGGTCACCTGCAGGTTCCTGCCCCGGCCCCACCACCTCCCCACTCATACAATCCCTCCTCCCTATCTTCGACTGGACTCCAGGTGCTCAGCCCTGTGCCTAGCTGTGGATGTCTATGTCTGCTTCCATCAGTCACTGGGTGGAGGCTCTATGATGACAGTCAGGGTAGTCCTCAATCTGATTACAGGGGAAGGCCCATCAAGCACCCTCTCCACTATTGCTAAGAGTCTTAGCTGCAGTAATCCTTGTGTGTTTCTGGAAGTTTCCCTAGCACCAGGTTTCTCCCTAACCCCATAATGGCTCCTTCTATCAAGATATCTCTTTCATTGCTCTCCTTCTCTGTCCCTCCCCCTACTCAACTGTCTAGTTCCCTAATGTTCTCAATCCCCCTCCCCTCCCCTCTTCTCCCTCTATGTATACCCAGGAGCAGGGGGAGGGCCTTGGTCCTGCCTCAACTTTATGTGCCAGATCTTGTTGACTCCCCATGGGAGGCCTTACCCTCTCTGAGGAGTGGATGGGAGGTGGGGGGGGGGAGGTGGGGGGAGCGGGAGGAGAAGAGGGATGGGGTACTATGGTTGGTATGTAAAATGAAAAAACTTAAGATAAAATAATATATAAAAAATAATTTTAAAATGTTGAATATGCCCCCATGGAGGTTTCATTATTTGACTTGGAACCTGGGCAGAGAAGAGGTTCTACAGCTGTTGTGTTCAGTATGGCTGAATTGTGTCCAAACACTGTAAGTCTCCATTCCACTATGATGTAATTTCAAACAGAGAGTTTCTTCTTTTGGCTCCAGGTTCATATATCTGTAAAATAAATGAATGAAATTCTTCAAGCTTGTTGACTAGTTATTGACAACAGTTTCTTTTTCAATACTGACTCAGTTTCCTCCCATTTGGAAAATTATTGTATTAATTATTAGGATAGTCAGCATTCATGATTTTTTTCCAATCTCTTTTAGATGTTTAACCTTTTGCTATACCAGTTTATTATAATTGCAATTGTTTATGCTGTCTCTACGTATAGACAGATCCAAAATCAGGAGACTGAAAGAAAGAGACATAAAGGAAACACAGAGATGGGGAAATGAAAAGACTACAGAAGGCAAGATAAAGAATAAGGAATGGAAGTAGAGAGGTGAAAAAATACCAAACATAGATTCAAGGCAGGAAAATTTTTTTCTTTGTATATTGAGTTAATTTGTGAAGATATTTTTAAAAAATTCTCTGTGTATTTCATAACTCTCAATAGCTAAGTTGTTTACAATGTAGCTTCAAATATTTCACACATAGCTCAGATGGAGTTTAATAGGCTGGAGAGCAAAAGCAGGGAAAAATTCCCCAAACCACTTATGTAGTCATTGTCAGACAAATGAAGAGAGGCGGCAATAGAGGCAAAAGGAAGGGAACATACCAATCCACCTCAACATTAATTTGGCAAACTGTTACATTTCTAGCTTGAATAATAGATAATAATTAATTTGCAAGCATACTATCATATTTACTATTTCACATACAACAGAGATGGTACTTAATAAGCTTAACAAGCTGGAGCTCACCAGTGAAAATAGGATGAAAGAAGATGGAAAAATCTTCGAATCTCATGAAAGGCTGAGTTCTCACTTTGACAGAAAAAAATAGAGAGAGCTGATAAAAAATGTTGGCAATGTATTTGAAAAGAACTTGTCAGTGAATTAGTACAAAGGATTAATTTGCTAAATATTTGTGAATTGCTGAGTGGCCTTCCATTTTCCCCTTGGTCTTTTCCAGGGAATCCCGATAATCTGCAAAAAAAAATTAAAAGGCAGAAATAAGTGATGGCTCCTCAACTAGTACAAGGCTTTAGTTCTCAGTAATAACTAAAGAACTCAGTGAGAACATCTGGAAAACAGAAAGCAAGGCCAATAGTGAATGAAGAAAGGGGAGAAAAGTATGAAGAAAATATATTCAGTTTTTTAAAACAAATGGTCGATTTGATAAACATTTCACTAGTATATTTGTCTTCCTTTTCAGATTCATAGAGTGCAACTGTGAATATTAAGTAGTACATAGTAACATTAATATATCAATTATATTTTATATGTTTAGATATTTCACATGAATCAGAAATATGATTGATAAGTATGGGAAAAATGGTCAAGTCAATCAAAGTCCAACTCTTAGGAAAAAATAAGTCCTCAACTCCTTATCAATAAGAAAGGGTGAGAGACATGCAATGGAAGAGGAGAATAAAGGTGTGGGAAAGAGAAGAAGGAAATGAAGGAAAAAGGAAGTCAGATATATGAAAACAAAGACAGAGACAAGGGGAGAATACAATGCCAAACATTTTGAATATTTTAAATTTGGGCTTAGACACCAGAGAGCTACTAGTTTTTGAGATGGGATAATCTGTTGGTAGGATCAGTTTGGAATAGAATAGGGGATAGAGAAAGTAAAATATCAAAATTCCTGTTAGATGCCCAAATTGTTATGCCAAATACATATCTAGCTATAGTTGGGAACCCTAAGACTCCTATAACAAGTTATTACCACCTTGGTGGCTTAAAACAGGCTAAATTTCTTATCTCTAAGGTTTGGAGTTTTGGAATCTGAAATCAAAGCATTGCCAAGATTATTTCTATCTAGAGATAGTGAGGAAGAATCTGTCCCTTTCCTGTTTGTAGCTTCTAACAATGGCCAGCCATCTTTAGTGGTGCTTGGATTAAGGATACATCATGCTATTCTCTGCCTCTGCTACCCATGGAAAATGGAGGGTTTACCTATGTTGAATGCTATTGAAAAATACAGAAGCCTGAGAATTACTGATTGATGATTGATATTAACAGAGTAATAATTGCTATAAACTGTTGTTTTACTTCGTATCAGCAGCTCTATTGAAGGGAATGGGGTAATATAAGCCAGATCACATTCTGCTATGTGAACTTTAAAACAATTTATAGATCCATATGTTTGTATGTGTGTGCTTGTCTGTATATATATCACATGCATGTGGGGCTCACAGAGGCCAGAGGAGAGTGTAAGTTGTTCTGGAGCTAGAATTTCAGGATGTTGTGTGTTGCCTGATATGGGTGCTAAAAACTGAAACTGGGTTGTCTGCAGGAACCTATGCATGATCATTATCACTGATCCTTCTTTCCACCCCTCATGTGGTCTTTTGACTCTAATCAAATAATGCCTATAAAATACCAAAGCATGGTGTTGAAAATAAAACACTATGGATACAACCTATGTGAGCTTAATTTTTGGTCACTACTAGTTACTAACTGAGTACCTGTGCAAGGTGTTCAATCCCTTGTTTGAGTTTCTTAACCTGTAAAACGAGGACCACAGGAGTCCACACTTCATAGGGCCATTGTGAAGATTTATTGTTTTAATAAAGTGTTACATGAGTTGTAGTAAGTGCTTTCTTTATAAAAAACATTATTTCTCATTTCTTGAATAAAAACATGATTTGAATAAACTTATCTGAGTTGCTATGAGCAATTTGTTATAGTATACTGTTAGTGCATCTTTCACATCAAAATACTATTGCATAATTTTAATTATTAAGGAGCTTAAGAGTTTGGAAGGCATTAGTATGTCTTAATTTGAATGTAAGATTGAAGATCTCTGGGAACAGAATTGAGGCCAAAGTTGGTTTAACAATGTTTGTATGGCTCCACTCTGCCTAATTTTATTCTCTGTCCAGGAGAATATGTCGTCATGACAACCCACTTTCATCTGAAGAGAAAAATTGGCTACTTTGTCATCCAGACCTACTTGCCATGTATCATGACTGTCATTCTGTCACAAGTGTCTTTCTGGCTTAATAGAGAATCTGTCCCTGCCCGCACAGTCTTTGGTAAGTGTTGCTTCATGGAGAACGGGGAAGAAGCACTTGCATTGTCATAGTAGAGGTAAGAAAGGTAGAGGAATGAACCATTGCTGCAGATACAGGATGGTATCCAAGTCCAGTAGAGGTAATAGCATTATCAGATGATGGGATTTCAAGCAAATGAATTCTTAACAAAGGAGCAGGGATGTGATTGATGTAATAGCATAATTACTCAAATGTCCCCTATCTCATTTTGTCCTGGGAACCAAGAAGAAATTGAGTCTTCAGTGAAAAAAATATATGAATTTATTGCAGATAGTAGAAAAAGTCAAGGGTGGAAAACCAACCAAAACCAAAGAAGTAGATTGGGCTTTCTAATGTACCTTTTTCATTTTAAAATTTATTTTATTTTATGTTTATAAGTGTTCCCATGTATGTATGTATGTATGTATGTATATATGTATGTATGTATGTATGTATATATGTATGTGTGCACTGTGTGCATGCCTGGTGCTTATGAGATCAGAAGAGCATATAAGATCTACCTAGAACTAGAGATACAAATGGCTGTGATCTACCATGTGGGTTATGGGAGCTGAATCCAAGTCCTCTGTAAGAGGAACAAATGCTTTTAACTGCTCAAACATTTTTCCAACCCCCAGGAACAATTTTCTGTTTACATTTATGACTTGTTGCATCTGCTCCAGACTTTTGAGAGCACGAATTCACTGATATTCAGTAAAGGCTGCATATACTTTAAATTGTTTCTTGAGCAGTATGTAGAATCAGAGAAATTTGCTTCAGTATAAGGTTACTTTTATCTAGGAAGAAGTTTGCATATCATTGGACTTGTTTTCCTTAGAGACTTAAAGCATACAAAACATTTTTCTGCCTGTTTTTCCCACAGCAAGATTTTTGGAGGACAAAAATTAATTTTTTCAGGCTATTGAACCACTAGGGAAACAGAGATTGTGAAGCATATATTCAAATATGCTAGATACCCATACAGAAGGCATTTCTGCCAATATCCTGAAGCTGTACAGTGTTGTTACATCAATAGTAAATTATGTTTCAAAGAGAAGTAGCACATTGGGTCAGGTTCAGGAGAAAATAGCAGTAGAGAAAGAGAAAGTACAAAACAATAAGAAAGGTACAATATTATAGAAGTCAAGAGGGAAGTATTTAGCGGTAGGAAATAATCATGTGGGCTGAAGGACCACTGCAAATTTTTGTAAAATACAGATGGAAGCTATCTGTTAGTTACTGTGATATACTCAGATGTTACTGAAGTAAAGGAAACAGAAACTTTATGGGTGTGGTTAAAAGTGGCCATTATTAGAAGAAAACCATGATCAGAATACATTGTATCAAAAATTATTTTCAATAAAAAGTGACTATTTAGCTGGGTTACTAGTTTTAGTAAAGAAGTATCTGAATTTTAAAATATAAAAGAGGGTGCTGAGCTTCAAGATTGTTACAGATTATAACTAAAGCTGTGGGATACTGAGTAATATCCTCCAAAAATTCATCTCCAAGTTTCTGGGATGTGTAAATATGACTATACATGGTGAAAATGAATCTTCAGATGTGATGAAGTTGAAGATTTCCAGCTAGAGATATTATTCTGTACTGGCCAGGTATTTAACTATAGAAGAATAAGTGTTGTGATAAAGGAAGCAGGCCAGATTGGAAGATGTTCTGTTGTTGTCTTATAGAAAGAGGAAAAGGCTCACTAGCCAAGAAATGCAATTGATGTAGCTATGAAAACTGCAAAAGGCAATAGATTATTATTATTACACTGAAGCCTTCAGAGGGAGTGGGGCTCTGATCAAGCTTGACCTTAACTTAGTAAAACTAAATTCAGGCTTATTGTGCCTAGATCTGTAATTACAGGTTTGTGGTGTTTTAAGCCACTAGATATGTGATAAATTGTTATATCAACCACAAGAAATTAAGACAAAAAATATTCCCACAAATCCAATACCATTGAATGGTTGTGACCTCAATGTAAGAGAAAACTAAGAAATCACACATAGAATAGAGAGATAATGTGAAAACATTTTGGGTTTGGCCTGAGCTATGTGTAAAATACAGGTTTCCTTGAGAATTTATTCTTTTTTTATTATAGTATTTTTATTTTATAATTAACTTAATTTCACATATCAGCCACGGGTTCCCCATCCTCCCTTATCCCACCCCCCAGCCCTGCCCCCAATCCAACCCCCACTCCCACCTCCTCCAAGGCAAGGTCTCCCCCAGGGAGTCAGCCCAGCCTGGCAGACTCAGCCCAGGCAGATCCAGTCCCCTCCTCCCTACACCAAGGCTGATCAAAGTGTCCCAGCATAGGCCCCTCTGGATAACTGAGACAGTTGAAAATTTATTCTTTTATAGTTTAAACTTGGCCTCATACTAATTCGGAATTCTTATTTACAGTAATTGCATTGATGAGAAAACCACCAAGTTAAGATGTTAATTTAAAATTTAAAGACAAAGAGCCAAGGATAGTCAATACCCTTTTGAATAAGAACAGTATGGAGAGACATGCTCCATAGGGTGTCAAGATGATTAAAATGCAATAGTCATTTAGGCATCACTATATTGGCATAAAAAAAGAAAAATAAATAAGTTAAACACTACAGTGAGTTGAAAGTATTCTCTTGTATATGGAAACTTGATTTATTGCAAAGATATCATTGGAGAGAATTAATTGAAAATTATTCATGGACTTAAATACAAAAATTAAAATATCATGCTCTTGGAATAAAGAACAAAAAATGATACAATATCTATGTATTTCGTGGAATATGTACTTTATATAAATTGGTCAAACATTTTCCAAAGTGGTTATATCACTTTGCATAAATCCCCTAATCTGGATATTCTTCTCTTACATACATAACCAATTGAAATAAATAATGTAATAAAATGCATTAAGTAAAAGTACTTCTATAAGAATGTTCATATGTTTCATTCACAAAAAATATATTGATGGCTAACCATATATTGATACAATTCAATACATTTCTCCAAAGAGCTCAAATGTGAAAGATATTTTCATCTTATTGTATATGAATTATACCACAAAAATACAGACTTGTAGGACTATAGATGTTAGAGTAATCAAACAGACTTTCAAATAGCCATGATGAATATACATAAATAAATGAAAGCAAGGAGGAAAAATGCAGGAGAAAGACTAGGGGAGAGAATATATTGAACATATTGGTTATCATGGAACTTGAAAATACAAATGAATACTCATTTATTTAAACATATTTATGTGGTGATATATTGTGTACCCTAATAAACTTGCCTGAGGATCAGAGGACAGAGCCAGCCACTAGATTAGACATAGATGTCAGGCAGTGGTGGCACACACCTTTAATCCTATTACTCAGGAAGCAGAGATCCAACTTCAAGGCCATACTGGAAACAGAGCCAGGCAGTGGTGGCACACACTTTTAATCCAAGTACTGGGAAGCATACATGCCTTTAATCCCAGGAAGTGCTGTCTGGGCAGAGAAAGGTATATAAGGCATGTGGAAACAAGAACTCACTCTCTTTAAACTGAGGATTTCATAGAGGTAAGAACTAGTGGCTAGGCTAGCTGCTCTGCTTCTCTGATCTTTCAGCTTTTACCCTTTTATCTGGCTCTGGGTTTTTTATTAAAAGAACATCTAAGATTTGATCAACATCTGGCACCCAACAGGGGTCACAAACCCATGACCCTGAGATTAAGAGTCTTATGCTCTACTGATTGAGCTAGCTGTTACCCCTGAATTGAAAGATAAATCATGGGAGCACACAGACTCTGGACCAACAGTTTGGGAGCCTACATGGGACTGACATAGGTCCTCTATATATATGTGACAGTTGTGTGGCTTGGTCTCTTTGTAAGGCTCCTAGCAGTGAGATCAGGACCTGTCTCTGGCACTTAGCTGGCTTTTGGGAACCTGTTCCCTCTGCTGGATTACCTTGCCCAGCCTTGACTCAAGGGGAGAAGCTAGGTCCTGCTTCAACTTGATGTGCCATGCTTTATTCAAGGCCATGGAAGGCCTGCTGCTTTCTGAATGGAAACAGAAGAGGGGAGCAGGAGAGGCCAATAGGAGGGAGGGGAAACTGTAGTCAGTATGTATAGTAAATGAAAAATGTTATCTAAACAAAATAAAATATAAAAGAAAGATAGATAAAAAGAAAATTCCTAAAAAGACAAAAATGAAATGCACAGAGATAAATGGCATGAAACTTACTGAGAAGGCATAACACAGTAGAATGATGGAAGTGAAAGAATGGTTGAAACAATTTTGAAGAGATAATAGCCTAAAACTGGCCCTATATAAAGAAGGATATAAAGTTATAAATAGAAGGAAATATATAAACCTCAGCAAGATAAGCTGAAAGAATGCAAATTTGTGATTGTTATCATTAGACTTTCCCTGAATGAAACACCAATGGCCACCAATGCCCAGTAGTGGTATATGCCTTTAATCCCAGCATTTAAGAGGTGGAGGTGGGTGGATCTCTGAGTTTGAAGCCAGTCTGGCCTACAGAGAGCGTTCCAGGATAGCCAGAGCTGTTACACAGAGAAACCTTGTCTCAAAAGACAAAAAAGAAAAGAATAGTGATGGCTGTTCACTAAATGAAAGAAAAATTATCCTAGAAAGAAGGTTGAAATTATTAATAAAAATAATAAATGAATGAGTCATGGTGACTCTATATTAAATTACAAATAATACCAATGATCTATAAAGAAAATACTGTGGTCTAATGTAATGTATGTAAGTTGATATGGAAAAATAAAAAATATTCTACATATTTTTATTATTAATGGACAAAATATCAATTAGCATTAAATTTTCATAAATCAAGGATACATAGTGACTGAGAATTGTGTATATATTCTGGGACTGTTAAATGTACAACTACTTTAATAAATTTGACAATGTCATATAGACTTAAACATATCCATACCACATAATCTTACAGTTCCATCCCTAGTTATTTATGAATAGAAATGAAAGCATACTTACATAAATATTTAATGCCTCTTTTATTATGTGTTGAGTATTGGAAACATCCAGATGCCCATTAACAAGTGAATAGATGAACAAATTAGGTTACACTAAAACTATGGACTCACTCTGAAATCAAGAAGATTACTCTCAAGATGTATGAAACATGAATAAACCCAAACTATTACACTAAATGAACGTATCCAGACAAAAATAAGCACATACTATATGATAATGACATGAAACTGGATGTGGGGCCGAGAGCAAGGAAGGGGTATTAGGGACATAAAAAGAGTCTATGAGAAGTAGTCATGTCAGTTCACTTCATCATGCAGTTTGGTAGAACAAACACATCTTAATAAGTAAGTGTACTAAAAGTACTCATAGGAAACAAGGAGGTCAGTCAGTTCTACCTTAGTCCTTGAAGAAGAGCTTTCTGAAAGAGTCTTAAAACAGAATCACTGTTAGGCTGGCTCCCTTTTTAAAAGCTGAGATACTCTATGAAGTATACAGAATGTTTGATTGAGAGCCCCTGCAACTCTGACCAGCTAAGAGCTCTCCAAAAACTGACAAGTCTAATTAAGTCCCAAAGGCTAAAGCTCAAAAACTCATCATTGAGATAAGACACAGAACACTTATGGTACAGTACAGTTGCTATAGATGTGCTCAGGTGGACCATGCATTTGTTCATAGCTATGAATGAGATAGCTTATTTCTCCCATAAGGCTCTACTTTCTTTTTCTCAATTTAATTTTTCTGAGAACTTCATACATGAATAAGTATCGAGTCTATGTCACTCATAAACTTTTTTCTTTGTATATTAAGGTTGATGAAGTTTTGGTCTATTATTAGTTTTTTGTTTATAAGTACTAACATTGTATTTGATCCTCACATTGTTTAAGCTGTGTTTTTGATACTCAGCTCTGATGCTAAGTTTCTGCAAAGATGTACCTTTAGGGTCTTTGTTGCAAATTCTTCTCCAGTCTAGATTTTCATGTATACAGCAAATGTGTAAGTAAGGAATTCAAAGAAGCAAGGCAGGAGAAGAAGCACCAGGGTGGTCGCTCACAAGGCTTACTCTCTCAGTAGAGTTAATAGAGCTAGTGATGCCTCTTGTTGCTTTACTCTGTAGCATCTCACCCCATCATCATTTCATTCCGTGCCCCCATTTGACCAATGCACAGATTTCTCATCCTCTTCAGCCTTACAACACTCAGAAAGATTGTGATCATTTCTTCTTCAAATCTGATTGAGTTTGGGAATATGAAAGTCCCAGGTTATCTGATACTCACAGATGGGGAGAAAGAAGGCACAGAGGGATTAAAGGAAATACCAAGCTACAAAATGAGTAAGTGGAAGCCAAAAATGTTCTAGTTCTACAAAAGTTCACAAGATACAGCTTTTGGAATAGTTTTGATTGCCCAGAAAGCTCAGTTGAGATCTAGAACTTGATACAGTTATAGAAATACGTTCTATAGTAGTTTGTTGCCTTATTAGAAGGACATCACAAAAAAGAGAAGTAGAAACCAGACTGAACTCATACCTGTGCCCTGAATCATGGCCTCAGTTTCAGGCTTGTCAAAAGAAAACTACCGGGACTGAGAGAAAGGTTAGCAAAAGGAGGACATGAGGCAAACACTGATCTCTAGCACTCTGCAGATGAAAAGGCTCTTCTTGGGTCTCTACAGTCCTATCCTGGATATGAGGGAGTACATTTTCTCTTCCAGATGGGTCACAGAAAGAACATTGAGATCCATTAGTAGGCTGATCATTAGAGGAAGCAGATTTAACTCAAAAGTAAGTCTTTCTAATTTAGAAGCTCTCTTACAACAAAATGAGCTACCCATTCTTCAGCAGAAATGCTTAGTCAGAGGCTAGGGGACAGCTATAGAGGCACTGCACTGAAGAATCTAATTCTTATGGCAAAGGGGAAGTATAGTTTATTACAGAAAAGTACAGCAGGCTACTCCACAGACAACACAAGTTAAGGGGCCTTACCAAGTGAGGTGAAGCACTTCCTTTCAGGTGGGAAGTTGGTGACTCCATTAAGTACACTGCCAGTGTCTTCTAGTTGCAACTGGTTCTTGACTTTTCTCTCCACAGGTGTCACCACTGTTCTCACTATGACCACCTTGAGTATCAGTGCCAGAAACTCCTTACCTAAAGTGGCATACGCGACGGCCATGGACTGGTTCATAGCCGTCTGTTATGCCTTTGTATTTTCTGCACTGATTGAATTTGCCACTGTCAACTACTTCACCAAGCGGAGTTGGGCTTGGGAAGGCAAGAAGTTACCAGAAGCCCTGGAGATGAAGGTGAGTTGTTGCAAAGGAAAAGCTGGGAAGCACTTCCTGAGAGATCTATATTGGGACCAGAAGTGAACAGCCTGTAGCTCACAGGAACTGAGCAGGGCTATGTGCTATTCACTGGGGTCATCAATCCAGTTCTCAACTGGAGTGTTTCTTGGCAACCTGGAGTTCAACTAGGAACTATGAAACAAAGGCTAATAGCATGTAGGGATTATATCTTGCATTGAGTCAAATATAAATACGATGCTTTTAGACTCTGGGGATATTGCTATTTAGAAACCTACCCAGAAGCTTGGAGTCTTATCTACATCTGAAGAACAGTCTCCAAGACCACTTTTACCTCCCTCTCTGGAACATTCACATTCTAGTCAAAATGAAGTGCTTATCATTAATTCCAAGTCTTTGTGTATTTTGTGTTCTCTATCTGAAATGCACTTTTTTTCTCTCTTTCTGGTAAGACTTATTCTTCCAAACACAACTAAAACATTACTTTCTCTGTGGAGCCTGTTAGGAACCATGGAGACAGATTTGGCTTTCCTGTGTGTGAGTACTCTGATATTAAAATAATTTAGTTGTATTAAGAGTACTCATTTGCCTTTTTACTAAGTTATGAACATCATGACTATTGTGGCCTTATCTTCATCTTGGCACAGCATCTGAATCAGAATGAAAGCTAAAGAAATACTAGCTAAATAGGTACATATAGAGACAAGATAAACTCAGTGGATCGATAGGAATTAGCCATGAATGAGATCACAGATATCATCACTAAATAGTTTGAATGAGTTGAGGTATCTAGACCTAAATGTACATTATATAAATTCTAAAAAGGACTGAAAATATAATCCAAAAATTACCCTTTAAGGAACCATAGAAAAGAGAAATGGTGCTGAAGCCTTTTCAAGCTGAGGTAAAAGATGTATTTCATAGAACAGAATGTTAAGTTAGCAATCTTTGAAACAGACTATAATTACTTACCTAACCAGAACTTACTAACTTTGGTGTAAATGAAGAAAAACTGTGTCTATATTTCCTCCATCTACTCTACCATAAGATTTTTTTTTATTGTGGTGTCTCTAGTTATTATAATTTTATCTTTGCCGTACATTGATCCTTTTATATATTGATTTGTCAGTTATTATCCAAGAATGTTAACCTCATCTACAAAACATAAGGAAATTGGTGTACTTATCCTACTTCTCACACTTTCTTCTCTATTCGTTGCTCAGCTTTGTACTAGTGATATTGAAGCCTTGTCAAGTTTTATATTAATATCACTTATGCAACCATAATTCCTATTGGTATTTAGTCATAGTTTTACATTTAAATGTGATATTTTCTCAAAAGTCAATATACCTATTTTCCATTAATTTCTTAGTTATCTCAAAACTGTTGTCTAGAAGTTTTTAAAGGTCTCATTGGAACTGTATTTCCCACTTTCTTGCATGTGCAAAATAACCATCAAATGTCTTTGTACTGAATTATGCTTGTAATGGTGTTAAGTTTGTAGTTCATATCCTCTTTCTCTAAGACTTTGTAGGAATCAATTGCTATTCTCAGTGCTGGAACTGAATGATGTTATCCAGAAATAGAGCCAACCTGGAAACTTCTCATACTATAGAATACTTGGTTTTATGGTATAGATTTTCATGTAAATATACCTTTCATTTGTGAAATCCACTTGCTGTACACTACATGGTCTTCCAATGGATTTCATTAGTGCTCTGAGAGTTTCATGCAATGTGTTTTGATCATATTCACCTCCTTCCCCTAGTTGTTCCCAAATATGCCTGCCCTTACCCATCCACCTGACATTTTTGTGTCTTGTTGTTTTTAAACTCTTCAAGATCAATTTGTATTGCCAAATACTCTTGGGTGTGTAGTCTTCTTCAAAATAGGAAAAGAATATTTCCAAATTCTTTTTATAAAGCCACTATTACCCTGATACCAAAACCAAAGGTCCAACCCAAAAAAAGGAGAAAATTATAGACCAGAATTTCTGGTGAACATTGATGCAAGAAAAAACTTAATAAAATACTTAGATATAGACAGACTTTCTTTGGACCGCCAGCTCCCAAATAATGACACAGAGATGTCTTATTAAGTATGAAAGCTTGGCCTTATCTTAGTCTTATTCCCAACTAGCTCTTAAAATTTAAATTAACCTATTTATAATGATCTATGGTCTGCCATGTGGCTCATTACCTCTCCTCAATATTGTGTGTCACACTTCCTCTACATCTTGCTGGCAAATCATCCACCTCTCAGATTCTTCCCCCAAGTTTCTCTCTCTCTCTCTCTCTGGAAGTCCCACTTATTCTCTCCTGCCTAGCTATTGACCATTTAACTCTTTATTAAACCAATCAGAAGGTGTCTTAGACAGGTAAGGTAAAATAGAGACATATCTTTACAGTGTACAAAAGATTATCTGACAACATTTCCCCTATTTGTCTAAATAAAAAGGAAATTTTTTTTTTTTTTTTTTTGGTTTTTCGAGACATCGTTTCTCTGTGTAGCTTTGCGCCTTTCCTGCAACTCACTTGGTAGTCCAGGCTGGCCTCGAACTCACAGAGATCCGCCTGGCTCTGCCTCCCGAGTGCTGGGATTAAAGGCGTGCGCCACCACCGCCCGGCAAAAAGGAAATGTTTTAACTCTAACACAGTAAAGCTATATGCAATAAGAACAATTATTAGTTAAGAATTACATTCACAATGTCCAGTACATTTGTATTTGGCAAATTTGGAGAAAATATTCTATTATCTATCCTATCTTGGTGAGTCCAAAGTTTTATACCTAAATCATTTTCTATCATAACTTGTATTACCAACCTAAAAATACCTTTTCAGACCTCAAAACATTTTCTTAGATAAAAAACTTAAGCTTTTAAATCTCTCAACCTTTATAAACTTTACATCCTTCTGTGAGTTTCTTTTCTGAATTTGATAAACAGGAAACCTGTAAAACTATAACTATCTAGTCTTCACCCCATCAGAGACCTGAGAAGGATATATATTACCCAAGTAAACAGGAAGTGTAAAGCAAGCAACTACAAAAACGACGTAAATGACAGAGACAGTTGGCTGCCTGAACAATCAAACAAGGTACTTCTGCAATATTGAAGCATCCATCTTCAGCCTACAGGCTCAGAATATCTGAGATACTTTCCCATGAAGCAGGACTTTTGAAGGACTGGCCTACCTTGTCTTTGCAGAATTTTGCAGTCAACTTCCTTTGAGTCTTCCTTGTCTAATTTGGACAACATACCGTCAGCAGTCAAGGCAAGCTCAGTTTCTTGCCCAGTGACTAGCTTTGCAACATTTAAAGCAAATTCCATATAGAGTTCCTCTGACACCCATCTTTTTTTAAATAGATTGGTGCTGCCAGGAGCAGACATGTCTCACTGTCATAAAAAGCCTTATGTTATTAAAACATCTTAAATGTCATATTCTGTAGATCCCTGAAGTGTTTGAAGACTATGTATCTAAAATACATAAGGTGAAATAAAGCTTATTTCTGTCTACCTATAAGCCCTTACTACAAATTTGATTTTTATTTTAATTATTCATTTGTATTAGTAGCTTTCAAGGACTAAAACTTTACATTGCAATTTTAAATGAGGGGCATATGTATGATATAGTATGCTGTTACAAAAATAACATTAAGTTTGTATTAATATACAAAAATCCATACAAATGTAAAATGTTTGAGACTAATAGTTGCTTTTTAGTTTAAAAATAGATTCAATAATCTACCCTTTTATCCTATCATTCCTATATCCCTCCCCCCATTTTTCACTAGAAAGGAAGAGAAAGAAGGATAGAGGAAAGAGAAAGGAAGGAAAAAACTTCCTTAATTTAATCTCCTTTGTTTAGTTTCCTCCCTGACCATGACCAATAACAACTTTCAACTAACCCACCTAAACAGTGACAAACATCCATAACCTACTGAATGACCAAAAACTACCCACTCTACCTCTTGGGAATGTGGGCATCATGGTCTTAAAATTACTCTCTGTTGTCTGTGGGTTATGCCATTTTTAGGGGACTCTAGAAAATTTGGATAATGACCAAGTTCTTGGAGAGCTAGCTGCATCATTTGTTGTCCAGTCTCTGTGTAATGGGAAAATGTAGGGTTTATCTGAGTCCTGACTAGAGTAGTCTGTGAGGCTAAACCATCTCAGCTAGCAGCTGAGATGCTAGCATCTCATTGTCCTCATTGGTGTCTTATCCTTTTTTTTTTCTGAATACACATGAACTTTTAAAGGTATCATATATATCAAGTATAGAATGTCTTCCACTTGCAGACACTGGCTGGGAGCCACATTTACCTGCCCCAGCTCTGGAAAGTTGCTGAACCTGTACTGCAGCAGGTGTTTCTACCTAGTCTCCTGCTGAGTAGCTTGCCAGCTTCTTACAGGCCCTGTACTTGGATATACATGCCTCTACGTTGGACACCAATTGTAGTTGGACTTTATTTGAACCACCAGTTCTCTAATAATGACACAGAGAGTTCTTGTTAAGTACGAAAGTTTGACCTTAGCTTAGGCTTGTTGCCAACTAGCTCTTAAAACTTAAATTAACCTGTTTATATTAATCTATGTTCTGCCATGTGGCTCATTACCTCTCCTCGGTACCATGCATCCCACTTCTTCTATGTCTCACTGGTGAATTCCTTGCCTCTCAAAAAATTTCCCCCATGTTCCTCTCTCTCTCCAGAAGTCCCACCTATCCTCTCCGGCCTAGCTATTGGCCATCAGCTCTTTATTAAACCAATCAGAAGGTACCTTAAACAAGTGAGGTAAAACAGAGACACATCTTCACAGTGTACAAAATGGTTATCTTATCCCACAGCACTTATATACCTAATTTAAATAATTTCAAAAAGATTATCTACTGTGTTCAGATAGGCTTTATCCCAGTGATGCAGAGATTTTTCAGTGTATGTAAATCAGTAAATGTAATTTACCACTTAAATAAACAAAAGGGCAAAACCCAATATATGATCAT